AAAAAAGTAGTTGGGCCCATTGAATTATTTAGCTCAGGCTGGCTAAAGGGCTACATGTGGCTTGATTTTTAGGAATGGGTCATGCTAGGGAGACCAACTTGGGAGACCAACTTGGGATACCAACTCTCTAATAGAGGTGGAGCCCACCAATGCAATGGGTCCCACGCTCTATTAGAGAGTTGGTATCCCAAGTTGGTCTCCCAAGTTGGTCTCCCTAGCATTTTCCTTTAGGAATTAGCCCTTTATGTAGCCATCCTTTTTTTTTTTTTTTTTTGTAATCCTTTGTGTAGACCATTCTTAAAGATGAGTTTTGGGGATTTTGGGCTATATATGAGGATATCGCCCAAACTTAGAGATGGCCTTACGAGGCTAAAAGTGAATTCATAAGGTGGGACCAGATTAAGAAAATATAGATAAGGGGTCTACAGGTAATTTGAATGAGTGAAATTTTGGCAGTTTGGGAGACGCAACAATTGCACTAGAATCAGGAATTATATGACAAGAAAATCTTTTCATTTTCTATTTTTGGTTTTGGGTGAGTGGAGAATGATCTAAAAATATAAGAGAAAACCTTAGTTGCAACGGAAATAGCTTATTTGGCTATTTTCGGCCAATAATGCTATGTCACTGGAAGTGTTATTATGTGTGTCATAGCATTATTGGTCGAATAGCAAAATAGTGTTATTCCCATTTTATGAAAGTGTTTATCTAAATATAAGAATATACCGATGTAGTCTATAAAATAGAAAAACGTATTCATTTATATTTTAATGCGTCAAATTGTATACTTTAGCTTGATGGTTCTGTGATGAAAATTTTCTTGTAAACATAAGAACATAAAGAACAAGTTGGGCCTCATGCAGTACTCTTCCAAGGTAGCTTTGGAGGGACTCATTTATCAGTTTTATGTTACTTTGAAAGTCACACTGATTTTAATTGGGTTAATTATAATTTTGGTCACTAGGGTTTGGCTCAAAATCAATTTTAGTCATCGTAATTTTAATTTTCTCAATTTCGTCATTGTACTTGCAGTTGTTAACAAATTAGGTCGCATCTCTCAATTCCGTCAGTTTAATTGCACGTGCTAAATGTGTACAGGGACGAAATTGTATATGCATCATTTAAACAATTAATAAATAAAATGGAAAGAAAAAAAAACAACCACCCAACCTTTTCTCCCACCCGCATCCACCATCCTATCCCCAAATCCTTTCTCCTTTATCCTCTCTTTGCAACTAACCACCCCACCATCATCCATAACCACCCAAACCCACCACCAGCCATACCCACCCACACCCCACATCCACCATCCAAATATGAAGCCATCACGGTGCAGGTGGGTGGGTAATGGCTCTCTCTCTCTCTAACTCTCATCGCCCCCAAGCCCAAATCTTTGTCTGCAACTGATCTTGAATCTTGAATCTTTAATCGTAGTAATGGCTCCAACACCGTCTTCTTCCAAATCCAACCGCAGCCACACATCTCTGATAGTTGAAGTCCTAGCCAGAATTTGAGATTACCCAGATAAAAAAGAACCACAAACAACATTGGTTCTTCAGATAAATCCTCAAAAGCAGAGTATTCGTGTTCGTATCGATTTCGAGTACCGAGATTTCACTCTCGATAGGGTTTCTTTATTGAAAGAAGACGATTTGGGATCGTTTTGCAGCAAGTTTGTTCAGTCCAAGATTGACAATGTGAAAAGGGGGATGGTGTAGGTGGGTTTGGGTGGTTATGGATGATGGTGGGATGGTAAATCACAATGATTAAAATTAATTTTGAGCCAAACCCCGATGATCAAAATTATAAGGCTTATTATCACAAAAGGTCCCTAAGGTTTACGAAACTATCAGATTGCATCCTTAATGTTTTTTTGTGTCACTTATGGTCCTCAAGGTTAGTATGTGTGATCACAAATGGTCCTTGCCGTTAGGTTCCGTCAAAAACTCCGTTAGTTTGCTGACGTGGCATATATACATATCACAAAACATCCCTGAGGTTAACACATCTATCACAAATGGTCCCTGCAAATTTTTTTAATTTTTTAATTTAAAATTCATAAAATTTTGTTTTTGTTTTTTATAATATTTAAAAATATATATTGTATTTTAAATACATATGATACTATATTTTTGAAGATGAGGGCTCCACATATATGCCACACCAACAAACTAATGAAGTTTTTTTTTTAAAATAATCTAAAATTCATAAAATTTAAAAATGAAAAAACCATTTATATAAGGATTTTAACCTTGAGGACCATTTATAAACCCTAAACCCTTGATTTTTTTCATTTTTAAATTTTATGAATTTTAAATTAATTTTTAAAAACTCCATTAATTTGTTGATGTGGCATATATGTGGAACCCACATCTAAAATAATATAGTGTCATGTGTATTTAAAATACAATGTATATTTTAAAATAATTTAAAATTCATAAAATTTAAAAAATAAAATCAAAATTTTATGAATTTTAAATTTAAAAAATTTGCAGGGACCATTTGTGATAGGTGTGTAAACCTCAGGGATGTTTTGTGATATATATATATATGCCACATCAGCAAACTAACGGAGTTTTTGACGGAACCTAACGGCAGGGACCATTTGTGATTACACATACTAACCTTGAGGACCACCAATGACACAAAAAAAACATTAAGGATGCAATCTGATAGTTTCCTAAACCTTAGGGACCTTTTGTGATAATAAGCCAAAAATTAATAAAATTAAGATAAATAATTGTTAAAATTGATAGTGCATCAACAAACATGCCTTAAGGTGAAAGTAATTATAATTAACCCATTTTAATTTGTAAGGTTCCAACAAATTGTATATCACACACTTTGCAATACCGACTTTTTTTTTCTTTTCTGCACTTTATCATCCATTTTGTCACATGCACCTTGGAGGGAAAATGTACGTGACTGTGTGCGTATGTGTATCACATGAAAGGGGAAAAAGACAATTGTATGAGGCAGCATTTGGACTCTTTCTACTGTGACATGATGGGCTGATTCCCATTGCTTGACAAACATTACAAAGCTTAGGCATGAATATGATGGGCTGGTAAAACCACTACACAACCAAAGCGCTTTATGAGGGAGAAAAACTTAGTTGTAATGAATATAGAATTATTTTGTTAGTCCCGTTTTATGAAAGTTTTAATATAAATTATTATTCATCTATGTGCGTGTGGGTGATTCATAATTGTAGATGCATACAAGTAACATGTATTTAGACAGTAAAACTATAAATGACTCACTATATTATCAATTATAGTTTATTTAGTGGATACTATTTGCCTCCTTATCAGTAAGGAGATATTCTTTCTTTCTACGAATCACAGTTTGACACATATGCAAAAAATAATTCATCAAAAACACAAAAATAAAAACTTCTGCACACATGTCACATTGTTATTGATAAGAATGTAGGAGCTCCTACTTACCTAGTAAGGAGGGAAGTATTTTCTTTATTTAGTGGTATATTTTATCGAATAATAATAATTCTAGAGCTAATTCGAACAACAAGTCCCGACTTTTCAAATCCTCCGACCACGCACAATTGGCTGTAGCATTTTTAAACAAAAATCTACGGAAGTCGCCAATTTGCAAATGTTTGGCAGTTCATGCCTTGGTGGATGATTAAGACTACCTCCAACTATCCAAGCAAGCAGACATAAATGATATATTGTATACGTCCAATGAAGCATGGCTGTAAAACCTATAACGTAACTCGCAATTTAATTGTCTCACTATCACTACGTATGAGTCATCATGAGTGGTCTTGTCAGAAGGAAAGAAAGAAAGATATTCACATCCATCTCTTGTTTGAATATTTGATGACGACTTTTTATTCATGACTTGGCTGAGGGTGTACGCTATGAATTTGAAAGCCTTAAACTTATTGTACTCAAATTAAATGTTTGATGGCATCTTTGGTGGAGACAAATTTGTAGGGAGCATTTTTGCTCACCACTTTAATCATAGGTGTACCATCATCACCATTCTCAATGCTTGACACGTGTCCATAGGTATAATCATGATTCCATAAATACAAAGCAAAAGTTAATTATGGTTATATCTATGGACACGTGTCAAGCATTGAGAATGGTGATGAAGGTACACTTATAATTAAAGTGATGAGCAAAAATGCACCCTAAATTTATATAATACGAGGATATCACTATTTTGTTATTCTTAGCAAATCATGTCATAATAATTTAACTTTTTATATGACTGAACATAATTGGATGAAAATATAGTAAAATAATGTTATTCCTGTAACATTCAAGTTCTACTACTTCTTACGATAATTTTCTTTGTAAAACTCGAAAGTGTTACACGTTGGAATTTCCATCTTTCTTCATGTTTCTGTTGAGCACATATGATTATCTTATTCATGATTGAGACTGAAAGTCTAATGTGACATAACAAACAATAATGAGCAACAATTATGGTGCGCCTACCTCTATTAAGTTTGGTGTCCTATATGGCCTACGGGCTAACTATGGCCATTCATTGAGAAATCAGACAGAGCTTCCTACGCACTTAAAGCTTCTGATCCAAGTCAAATCCTAATTGGAAATTAAACCGCTTGCTTAATGCTTATGCAAAGTACATGCCAGTTCACTGTGGAGAAGGCAAAAGTTGACTTAGATTCCACATATATTTAAATACCAAACTTTACACATTTCTTTCATCTCTGATTCTTCCTCTCTGTCTGCACTTCATCTTTTGCATCCAATTCATGGGAATGAAAATATAAACAATCTAACCAATGAGGTTTGGTTGAGTTGGTTAGGTTCTTGTACTGTGTGTAGCATTACCAGTGTCCGAGTTTCGCCGCTAGCAGTTCTTATTGGTGTGCGATATGTAATTTCTTATATAAATTCATATCGGTGACAGCTGGCAGTTAAGTGTCACGCGTAAGTCTTTTCCACTCGAAATTGTTAGTATGCCTTAACGTTAGTGGTGAAAGTAGCCAATCTTCCCTTAAATTTTTATTCAGCGAAAAAGAAAATATAAACAATAAACATTTACAATTTGTCAGCAGAAAATGCAAAAGATGAAGTGCAGCAGAGAATTTTTACTCAAAACCCCCCCCCCCCCCCCCCCCCCCCCCCCTTATTGCTCAAAACACCCGACTAATTTACAGGAATTTACAGACCACCCCCTTGTGCAGTCAAAGTCAACATCCCCTTTGACCTTAGTAAGCAAAGTCAATCCACCTTGACCAGCCCAAATTCAACTCCCAAATCTACCGTTGGTTTAGACTGTCCCAAAGCAATGCACATTGCCTCCTTGCAAACCCCACCCTAAGCTTCTCCAAATCATAAACCACCTCAAACCCTTGCTGCTGGTAATTCCCTAAAATACCCCCGGGCCCACCGCTCATCTCCTCCTCATCACCACCGTTCATCAGCATCCAACACCCAACCTTTTTCCTCTTCCTCCCGGCCCCATCACCACCGTCCACGAACTCATAAAAGTAGTTCCTCCTGGGCAGCAACACACTGGATTTGTTCCCCGCAAAATGCAACGTCACAGTCGGAACGTCCACCACCTTCTCGTAATAATAGCACGGCCCAAGACCGGTTTCGTCCTCCACCCGAGTCGCCCGCTCGTGAACTCGCCCGACTCTGCGGTCGAACTCAGCCACCAGCGAGTTATAGAAACCCTGCGGAAACATGGTGAAAGTGGTCCCCGAGTCCACGACGATCCCGCCGTTCCCATTCTCATCGACCCCTTGCAGAATCTCCGGTGCCGGAAAAACCCTTTTCCCGACCGAAACTCCGGCGAGCCCAATCGAATAGAAATAAGGGTGCTTTGGGTTGTCGAGCATGGAGGTGTAGGCATACTCAACCGACCCACCAGCACCGTCCCCAAATCGCTTCTGTTTCCGGTCGTACGGGCCGAGAATGAGCGGACTCGGTCGACGGACTCGGTCCTGGTCAAAGGAGTGAGAAACTAAGCAGTATGAAAACTGGGTGGCGAGGTGGGGAGAGAAGGTGGAGAGTTGGGCAGGTAGAGAAAGCAAGCCGCGGCCGAACCCAGCAACCCCAATTGGCTCGCCGAGGGAAGAATGGGAACACCCAAAAGTGAAATTACTCAGAACCAGAGCAGGCGTCGACATGGGTATCGACAGGCTGTGCTTGTAAAGCTTGGCTATGAAGCTTCCATCAGCGTAGGCGTAGTAAAATGGCGGGCAAGAGAAGGAGGAGCACTCGGAGATTTCTATAGAGTCGAGAGGGCAATTGGAAATGGCGCAGAGGTTGGCGGAGGAGAGGGAGGAGTGGGCGGAGGAGCAGGAGCGGGAGTCGCACGAAACGGCGGCGTTTTTGGGGATTTTGGGTGGTGGGTTTGTGGAGTTGGGTTTGCCTTCACAGAGTATGCATTCGAATGGGGAACAGGGGAACCAGACGAGGTCGCTGCCTGTGTCCATGTAGAGAGAGACGGGTTGGGGAGGGCTGGAGTTGAGAGTGAAGGAGAGAGTGTAGTCACTGCCTGGGGCGAGTGGGAGAGAGACTTGGTTTGTTTCGCGGTTGTGGCGGCGGCGGTGGTGATGGAAGCGCTGAGCGCGTGGTGGTGGATTTGAGGAGATGTTGGGTACTGTTGAATTGGGTTTGGGAGAGCGTGTGGGTTAGAGGGAGATATAGTGGTTGTGAAGATGAAAGAAAGAAATGTGTAAAACAGAGTATTAGAAACAGAGCAGAAGCCATGGATGAAGAAAACAGAGTAGAGAGATAGAGAGAAATGTGAAGAAGGGGGTTTATAAAGGGGAAAACTTCTGGTGGGTAGGGAGGGGTTTTGGTTTGTTTATTTGTTGGTCATATAAATTTTGGAAGGTGTATGTGAGGAAAGGATTATCTTCTTAATGCATGCTGGCTTTGTTTTGTAAATAAAATGAAGGGGTGATGGCTTGAATTCCTGGGTCGGCAACTTGATATGGGACTTATCAGCTGAGCCTGCCTTGTTTAACGTTTGCTTACCTTGGTAGGATAAGCATAGAAGTGACTAAAGTTTCTTGTACTTTCAACTTACAACTTTTAAATGAAATGTTTTTAGCCCAAGGCTAAGATTTGATCTTATGAATAATATTGTTTATGAGCTTTAATCCAAGCGACATATGAAATAGGCAAAATTGTATTATAATATTTATTTTTATAGTTTACATTTATTATTATATTATTATATTATTATAAAACGTAGGTGAGGCTCAATATACCTCTTCGCTTTGAAGTAGGTAATATTGTCTTGTTGTGGAGAGTAGTTATATTTTGCCTACCCATTTGCCTCTTCCCTTAGAGAAGATGCTTAATAGTGAAATTAAATAAGTCAAAACTCAACTTAGAGAATTGAAAGATCTGCAAAGAAAAAAAATTTATGACACAAAGCCCTTGACATGAGTTGGTAGTCTATTCATATAAGTATTGGTTAGATGATAAGGGCTAGCCACAATTAGATACTAAACTCATCACAAATACGTATCTTCTTCGAATACATATGAGTCCAACAATGACTTTTCAACATAGTAAAGAAAAGTACAATAGACCAATTATCTCTATAATATTTAGAGGTTAATTAAAGGACCATGAAGAATCTTTGAATCAAATCTAGTGAAACAAAGAAATGTAAAGAAAACATAATCTAAAGCAATATCTACTCTCCCTCTAAGCTTGAAGTCATACTAGAAAAAGGGAATCTCTCACCTTTACGTTTTCTTTACATTATAAAGGTAATGTACATTAAAGGTATACAATTTTGTACATTAAAACCCTTCATCAGTAACATAGGAATGAAATGAGAAAGGTTTCCGAACTTATGTTTAAATTTTATTATTGTAAGCCAAAAAAATTCATCTTAAAATTTTAAACCCAAGAACTGGTTGGTCAAGTAGATCAAATCAAACATTAATTCAAATAATCAAGTTACACATAATCCCATTTGACACCTCTAAGTTGCTGACAAGGATGAAAGAAACCAGCTAGCTCAGCAGCTCAAGTGCCACATCAGATTACATTCCGCAACCACAGCAGGACAGCAAGGCGGGTAACAGAATGAAAGGTTGAGGCAGTTAAATTAGTCCAAAAATAAAAATAAAAATTGTAGTTTGTCACAGTTGGTTATTATTGAAGCTTAGTTAAATAGTTAGTTATTTCCAGGTCATGGTTTTGTTACCCGACACACGTATAAACTACATGCGAAGATTTACGATTGTTCATCAACACAAGAGAAAACAAAACTTATCAGCTTCACATTTGTGAATTTCTCTGGAAATATTTGTGATTTTCTCTCTACCCAAACAGGAGCTATGTCAGTTTTTCTGCAGCAGGCAGCGCAAGCTTGGGAGGTGCCACCTTCAAATCAGGAGGAGGGAGAGCATTGCTACGACAACAACCAAGGGGTTACCAATTATGCCCTTCCCACAAATACAACAAGTCATCTTGATCCAATTCCAGTTGATCAGAAATGAAAAGGCATTTATGCTAAGTCTTCAATGAAAACTGCAGCTTTGATTTCTACTTGCAACTCAAGTTCATCCCAAGACAAAGGAAATTGAGTACTATTGATCCCTTAAAACTCCAAACCATGAATGCATGTAGCTTAAGCTTGAAATGGTTCATTTGGGTTGGAATTTTAAATCCATTTACCTCATGAATTATTGGGTTGCTCCTTCATATTCACCCTTGCCTTACCCCTTCCTTTTTATTTTTTTTTGAATTTTTGTCATCACAAATTGTAAACTATATTTGTTTCCAAACTAGTTGGCGAAAAACAAGGATAGTATATTTTCTCATAATTTTCTTTTTCCAACAAGTGTCGTTTATGAAATTTGAACTCAGAATATATACTTTTTTTTACAATGAATAATTCCGAATCTTCTTTAACAAAATAAAGACGGTAGTATTGAATTTTTGAATTCCATGTGATGAGGAGGAAAATTTCTTTATTTTAACTACAAGAGAAATGTCATGCTCATAATAACACAGCCATACAGTACAGGTCATACTAGACTAGCTATTAAAGCAACAATAATAATTCTGAAAATAAAAATATTAGAAGAAAAATCAACATAATGATTTTTTTTTTGGGGTCTAAACCACGAGGTAGTCCTGGATGGGCCCCAACTATGGGTGGCACCTTTAAGCCTTAACCACAACCCAGCAACATAATGATTTTAATTGTCATGAAATTTCAAACAAACTGTGACATTCAATTTGATATTACCACGTCAACATGCTTCATTTCTCCATTTCTCCATTTTTAAAAAGAGCACATTTTAATTTCCCATTGTAGAGGCATTAACTAGTTCATATTGTAGTAATATGAACCCTTACAACATTAATAAGTTTTTGGCTAAACACTCAAAAAAATATAACAGGTCTCAACACATATGCTCCTTAAATTTTTTTTAATATTTTTTTTAAATACAAGCGATATTGAGGAAGTGGGGTGTCAAACTTAGAACTTCGGTGCATATTCGATATTGAGGGAGTGGGGTGTCAAACTTACACTTCCTAAACCCTATATAAAAAGTATTAAAAAATAAAAGAGAGTCTAAGTGCCTGTTTGACATTGCTTATTTAGGGCCATAAGTGATTATTTTAAAATTTTTGAAAGCCTAGCCTGTTTGGTAAGAGATAAAAAAAATCTCTTATTGTGAATAATTGGTGTGTGAGAAAGAAATTAGGGAAAGCTGGCACAAAGCTGCTTTCATTTTCTGATTATGTGGCAATTAGTTTTGAGAGGCACTAGAGTTTAATGAGAATTTCAGAATTCCAAAAATAACCCCATATGTTTTCAGGCTAGCGTATCTTTCTCCTCGTTCTTCTACTTCCCATCGTTCATCTTCATGCCTTTCTTCCGCGTTCCTCATGCCAGAGCTACTCTTCTCCTTCTCTTAATTCAATTTTTCTTGTTGGATTGTTGAAGCACTCTTTAGATGCCACAAGAATAAGGTAATAGACATACTAGGTTAATTTTTCTTGTCAAAGAAAAGGGATATCTACATGTACCAAACATATTTAACAAAGAAATATATAAGTGAAAGTGAAATTACCCAAGGGGTTTGGTCTAGCAGAAATACTGGCTAGGTCCTGCAAGTTGGACGAATGTTAGTTGGATACTCTATGAGGTCCAGCGTTTGAAACTCAGCTTGTGAAAAACACCTTATAGAGAGCTTTATCGTAAATAGTCCCGGCTCGGAGTGGTTGCACACTTTGCCACCATCCTAAACCAAACCAGAAAGTGAAATTCTTTTTCTTTTTACCAAACACTTGAATGGAAAAACCATTTCAACACAATATCATTTTTAGTCATTATACATAGTTCATAGCACATTGACACAAAAATTTACCAAACACTCAAAACTGATTATTGTACCAACAACACTTTTGACAAAAAGTTTACATCAAACGGATTTCTTTCACAGTTAATTTCTCTCACAGTAAATCTGACAGCGATTATTTTAACTGTACAACAATGCCAAATTGATCCTAAAGTGAATAAAAAAAAGGATAGTCATTACATATAACTTTAAAGAAAATTTAAATTAGAAATAAGTACATTATTTTTTCTTCTTTTGTCTGCCTGACATCCATATCTGATAATATGATGACGTGGCACACAACAAAACTTTGCAAGTTGCAAAAGGTCAAAAAAGGAAGAAGAAAAGAAAACATTGCAAAAGAACAAAGAATAATGAAAACACAGACGTGTGGCGCGATCAGGTGCTGCCATGAAAGCCTGGTACTTTATGCCAGCGTGGCAGTCCCTTTGTGGGCCCATTTTGTTTAGTTTTTCAGCGTTTCCCACTCAACTTTTGGATTGTAGTTAGATTCTCGTGAGCCCGTACCACCCAATGGCCACCAACCTCGCTTTTGAACTACCAACCAGACCGGAGGCAGCCAGTATGGCGCTGCTGTGTGTCTCTCCACGTGTCAAATGGAAGTGCATGTGAGGAGAAAAATGATGATAAGGTACTAAGGGAGGATTCAGAAATTTTTCAACGGGTGAGTTAGTTAAATTATTAGCTTAAAATTTAATAAATCTTTTTTTCATAGTTTCTAAAGTTTTTCTAGAAATAAAAGGATTCATTAAATCATAGGGTTAATTACTGTAGACGTCCTTGAACTATGGCCCCAGTTGCAATTGGGTCCGTGAACTAATTTTTGAGGCAATGAAATCTTCTAATTAGACATTCAATTGCAATTAGGTCCTGCCGTAACAGAATCCGTTGAGTTTGACCATGTGAATGGCACGTGCTCTTGTTGTGAGGGGTATATTGGAGTTTCCACGATGGTCATCTCTGTGTCTTGTTGTAAACCTCACGATGGCCAGCTTCATTTGCAGATTGGATGGTGCGCAATCTCATATAGTAAACATTCATTTGCAGATTGGGGTTCTTTAACCTCCTTTTCTCATTAAAAAGAAGAAAAAAAAAAATTCCAAAATTTGATTTTGACTGATGGGTTTTGTTTTTTCTCACCAAAAAAACAAAACAAAATCAGCTTGTTGTTCTCTATCTGGATTTCAAGCTTGATGAGAGCTATACACCTTGTAAGATCTCAATTTGTGCCGGGGATGGCTTGTGCTTCTTGTCGAAGAACGAAGACCGACGGTTAGCCGAAGAACTTCTCGATCTTCTCCACGTCGTCGGCGGTGGTTTCTAGGGTTGTGTGGTTCAGGCATGAAACAGAGCTCAGGTTAAAATGGGGTGTTGAGTTTTTTTTAATTTTTTATCTGAGCTTGTTTGTGTTGTTGTTCATTATGAACTGTGAGTTGAGGAAATTTCAGGGAGAGCTAGAAATGATGTTGTTGGAGGAGAAGGAGAGCTTGAGAGGGATGGGGGTGAATGTGGAGGAGAAGGAGATGGTAGAGGTTCACACGTGGGATTATCAATGAAGGAACTCATTTGTTGACAACTAATTTTTAGATTGTCATCAAATCTGTAAAAGCTTGGGGGATAGGTGGGTGGTCCCACTGCTGGCCTCTTCTATGTTGTCCTCGAGGAGATGGGAGGTGGGTTGCA